AATTATCCAGTCAAAAATAACAATAGTTTTGGGGTTGAGAAACCGTGATGTATAGGAAGTCACGTCGTGCTGGAGGCAGTAGTTAAAGTGCTATGTTTTGTTCATTCTCTGTGTTGTTAGTCTAGAACCACAAAATCACTTAATGCAATTATTGCCAAAAATAGGAGACAGAAACTAGAGGGGAAAAAAAGTTATTTTATGTAAGTTTAAGAAAGCTAAGTGAATAATGAGTTGTTCTTTTGGATTTGAATCAAGACTTAGTTTGGAAGAATATTTAGGACCAAGCATTGCTCTTCATTAAATTTATATCAATCAAAGTGTTAATTGGAGGAACCAGTCTTTCAGATCCAAATGTTTTCTTCTATTAGGCTCCAAGAAAACTGTTCAGAGGAAGTGAAAAAAGTGAAAGGAGAAGTAGAGGACTTAAGGTGTCTTCTGGCCCAGTCACAAAAGGAGTCACAGACTTTAAAATCTGAACTTCAGGCTCAAAAAGAAGCAAATCCCAGCGCTCCAACAACCACAATGAGAAATCTGGTAGATCGACTGAAGAGTCAGTTAGCCTTGAAAGAGAAACAGCAAAAAGTAAGTAACATTAGAAAACACTAACAACATTTTGGAAATAACGTGTGGGAGATGGCTCTTAAGAGAAGACAGGAAACAGATGATAGCGTATCTGTCTGCTTTAATGAAAAGTATGAGTCTTACTTCATGCTGTCAAGCGAGGTCTTAAGATAATTAGTTTAAATAGTCCTATTAGTGGTGATTTTAAATGTGTAGTCCAATTTATCTTTTTATGTTGTCATCAATCTGATTTGTGGGTTGTCTGTAGGAAATAAGGGAAAATCTTAACTCCTTCTTTCCCCTCTTTTTTACTGAGGTCTTATGATACTGAGGCTATTTTGAACAATCTGAATAATTGAACAATTTTGAGCAATTTGGGGTATTAAGAGGGAGATAGGACAGTGGGAAGGAAAGATTTAAAAAGCAAGTCACAGAGATAGTTTTATGAGGAGTTTGTCAGTGGCATTTCTGATTTACTAGTTTTTAAAATTTCTCTCAGTGTTAATCTACACAATTGTTTTAAGAAGTACTTCTGTTTTCTCTGTGCTGGCTCATGTTTATTGGCAAATTTTAAGCCTTTTCCAATCCTATAACTTTCATTGTCTACTTAAATTCAATTATACTGAGAAATTCAGATAAATAGTTAAACTTGGATATTTGTAAATAAAACATACCTGTTTTCTGAATTGCAAATTGTTTGATTTAATGCTGAGTTACTATTATCAAGATTTTGAACTGTCACATTCAATTTGGAAAGAATTGAGTGCAATTACTAAAGGAGATTCATTTGAAAGAGTTGGGTGGTTTGTAAATTACACCTGATTAAGCACATGGTATTTTAGGAAAATAGTTAAAAGTAATAAAGCATGAGTTATTTTGTTGTATTACATAGTGCTCACATAAAATACCAACTTTTTAAAATGTATATATGTTGCAATTTTTAGGCACTTAGTCGAGCACTTTTGGAACTCTGGGCAGAAATGGCAGCGGCAGCTGAGGAACGTATTATTTTTGCAACTTCTCAGAAAGAGGCAAATCTTAATGTTCAACAAATTGTTGATCAACATACTAAAGAGCTAAAGGTGAACACAGGCATTAATATAACAAAATTTCTGACAATTACCATGCAGAGAATCCCCTTCGATATGTAATAATTCTGATAATGAATAGAGTATTCTGATGAATTATTGGTAGATAGATACACACATATTCACACACTTTTGAACAATAGCTATCTTTATTGAATTTAGGCACTGATTATCATCTTGAAGATTAGCAAAGGATAGGCCATGATAAGCTACTCTTCCTAGTAGAATTAAATTTAAGAAACATACATAGGATTTTTACTTATGTTAAAAAGTGAGATAGATGTGTAGTTTTTGTTTTGTTTTATTTCTTTTGTCCTATCAGAATTTTCTAATTTTTGCTTGCCCATAATATGTTAATTAGCTTTCCTTTCCCCCCCCTCCAAAATAGTTTATGGAATTCATGTAGCTCTTGACATATTGGTGACTCTAAAGCCTTTTTTGGGGAGGTTATTTACTTTTTGGCAATGTATTTTATTATTTTCTAACCTGATCATTAGATTTGGTGATTAAAATGTTTTTTATAAATCATGTGTATTTCATAATGATTTTCAAATTTGTTTACACAAAGTTTCATATATTATGCAGAAAATAAAAAATTTGCTTTCTATATGTTTTATTTTATTTATAATTTTGATTTGCTCTTATTTTCTTTGTACATGCCTTTCAACACCATTAAACTGTCTAGGGACTGGGTTTTACTCAGATTTTTTAAGTCTTGCATTGTAACCATCAAGATTATGAGCATAGTTGACAGTAAAACTCTATTTACTTAATAATATATTAACACAAATAGCCCTTTGTTGATGTCTCTATCACCTTTCTCTTTGCCTGCAATGTCTTCTGTTGAATTCTTCATATTTCTCACGTCTTTTTTCTTGAAGTTTTTTTCTGACTTCTCCAGGACAATTTATGTTTTTCTTCTAACTACATTATAATACTAGTAATTTCCCTTGAGTGTTATTAGTAATGCTTTAGGCCGGTAATAATTTATGCAACAAAATATATTTTAAGTGCTACCATTCCCTTCACTTTACTATATAGGACAACTAGCAACTGCTTTCTAGTGGCTTATGTATACTGTCCAATATTGCAAGTTCTTGTCTTTGCAAAGTAGGTTAGAAACTACTTCAAGTCAGAGATTTTGTTTAATGCCACTCTTAGGCTTTGTAGTGTGTAAAACATTGCCTTGTACACTGAAATGTACTTGTTTCTTTACTAAAAATTAAATCAGCCATAATGAAACATTTGCTAATTTGGTAAAATTTTGTTTCTGAGTATTTGTTGAAGATGAATTGCTTTAGCCTCTTTCTTGTTTACTTCAAGTAGACTTGGTTCATTTAAATGAAGATGAAAAAATATATATAACGTGCATTTTTTTCCTTGTGTACTTAAAAAAATTAGATTGAAACATTCTTGGATTGAAAGTATTAATGGTATACGTTCTGTATTATATTGCTTTTATCCTTGATATTTGAAGATTTATAAATTAAATATTTATCTTTCATTAGTCACAAATTGAAGACAAGTGAAAATCTTTCGAAATTGAAAGAAGCTCTTAAAGTAACTAAAAACAGAAAATTCACTAACTGATAATTTGAATGATTTAACCAATGAACTGACAAAAAAACAAAAAGCCTATAATAAAATGCTTAGAGAGAAAGACGGAATTGATCAAGAGAATGATGAACTGAAAAGGCAAATTAAGAGACTAACCAGTGGATTACAGGTACTTTTGTATTTAATTGTGATCATGTCTGATTGAAAATACATAGGTAGTTGTTTATTCCATTTCTTAATTTTATTTATAATATTTGCTGAAATTAGCTTTTAAGTCACTTTGATTAAGGTAGCTCATTCTTTTTTGACCTCTATTCTATTTGTAGCTTCAGAGTAGCATCTTTAAAATGCAGAAGCAGAAGCAGCTATTATGCTATATTTATATATCAACAGTGTCATTTAGGAAGTATGGCTTAGCTGTAGCCTCAGAAAGTTTCTATAACTGGCATATTTATTGTGTATTTTGTTTAATTTTTTTTACTTAAGGTATAAAAATACATATTATATTTCAGGGCAAACCTGTGATAGATAATAAAGTCTAATTGAAGAACTCCAAAAGAAAATTAAAAAACTAGAAAGTCAACTGGAAAGGTGGATGAAGTAGAACTAAAACCTATAAAAGAAAAGGTATGTGAGGAAACATATTGATTGATATGTTTAAGGTAGTGAAAGACTAAGTTAAATGTATAATTGATAAGCAGATAATTTTTGAGGACCTACTACATACTATACCTAGTACTGAATAATGTAGAGAAGTTTAAGATAAATTTCTGTCCTTTAGGAATTCAGTCTACTTGAGGAGGTCCCTGTAACATAACTGTCATTCAGAGATACTGCAATATGTCTATGTCCTCTCCCTGACATCACAGCACCTCCAAACCTTCGTACCTTACATATCTAACTTCTCCCCCACGTAATTGTTCACATAGATTGGTGCTTTCAATCTTTGAGAAAGAAAGCTGGGCATTTTTAGTCTTCTACCTTGACCCAAATGTGTCCTTTTTAAAAAAAATGTGTCCTTTTTATCCTTCAATAAACTGGTCTGTTATTTCAGGGTAACAAAATGACTTGGAATATATACAGATTTTGCAATAATAATAATCAACCCACTCACTGATTGATTCTATAATGTGAGAAAAAAATTTTGATATAGATTAACAAACTGTTTCTAAAAGATATTGCTGATAGAAATAATCAACTCCGCATAATCCTAAAATTAGCTAAACTTCATATAATTAAATTTATTGTAAATAATAAACAAAATATTTATCTTGTAGTAAATACCAAGTGACCTGGAAAATATTGGTGTTAATAGTAATGTTTGCCCCCGAAGAAAATTACAGTGGAGGATCTATGGTTAAGAGAAGAATTTATCCTAAAATTTACCCATAAAATATTCGATATCTAAAATAAACATGAAAATAGAAAAGAAAATTAACTATCTTTAATGACAATGGAGAAAAAACAGATAATGGGATTAAAATGTCATAATAGACTATATTCAAAACATCCTTTCCCTATGAAAATTAATCGAGGTCAGTATAATTTTGATTAAAATGCTCACATTTATTTAAGTAGAACCCCAACACATTGCTGTCACAGACTTTGCTGGTGAAAATTGCAAGATCACAATGTCCTTACTCTTTTTTTTTTATAGTCAACAACATTTATTATGATTCACTATTTCATACAAACTGTAATGTAGAAAACAGGTTGGTGGTGTACTAAAATATTATTACAATACAGGCTGATGCATGCTGCTCTGTTCTCATGGGGAGCAGGCTCTCCCCCGCATCAGGCACAGCAGCTGCACTTGTCTGACATCCCGTTGCAGATGCCACCCTGGGCACAGTTGGCACAACCCGCAGGGCAGCAGGAACAGCAGCTCTTCTTGCAGGAGGTGCATTTGCACTCTTTGCATTTGCAGGAGCCAGCACAGGTGCAGGAGCCACCAGTGGGGTGGGAGTAGTTGGGGTCCATTTCGGGCCGAGGTGTCCTTACTCACCCAGATTGCTTTCTTCACTGCCTCCCTAGTCGGGCATAGGCCTCATTGTCGGACAGCAATTCCTAACCCGATGGCTATCAGAATACCTCAAAAGCGTTGTGGCCTTGCCTGGACTCCTGACTTCTGTACTTCGGTGTATTTCTCCTTAAAATAAAAATAATACCATTTGCATTGCCAACTTCTCAAAATCATTTTGACAGTCAAATGAAATAATGTGAAAGTCTTTTGTAGGCCATCAAATCCATATCACTGTACAGTATTATTACTAATTAGAAAAAAGAACACTAAAATTAAATTCTGTAAGGATTTTGGAATGAAGATAAGTTATTGGCTCAGATAACTGAACAGACTTTTTAGTTACATGAATGTCCAGAAGAACATCTGAAGGTTCAGCACATGGGACTGTTCTGCATTATATGGATTTTTCTTGGTGACTTCATCTCAATTATAATGAACTGGGACCACTACATCTATTAATTCCCTTCTCTGCTTTGTTTGTTTGTTTAGCACTTACCACCAGTGAACATACCAAAATTTATTTTCTTGTGTTTTGTCTTTATTTTACTTCCTTCTGCTTATTCAACCAACAAAAACTAGACTGTAATATCCATGTAGATAGGGGTTTCTGTCTGGTTTATTCATTGCTTCTGTTCCTGGTGCCTAGAGTGGTACCTGACATACGGTTAGTACTAAACAAGTATGTGTTGAATAAGAGAAGTAATGCTGATTGAGGATTTGAAGGGGCTGTGATGCTATATGGTGACAAAATTGGGTTATTTATACATACATATTCTTTGTTTGAAGTTTACTTTAGTCATGATCGTTTGTATTAGAACCTTTATTTAGAGATTCCTAAGGGCATTAATGTTAGTGTGATCTGTTACTCAGAATTTCTTTTATCAAGTTATAAAATACAGAATCCTTAAGCTAAGTTACATAGCAAAATGAATATATTTACATATTCTCTAGAAGTGTTGGTTTACCATTGTCTAGTAAATTATAGTTGATAGATTTAAAATGAAAATAATATTGGTAATTTTCTCCCTCCTTCGTTATTGTTTACAGAGTGCTAGAGAAGAATTAATTAGGTGGAAAGAAGGTAAAAAATGGCAAGCCAAAATAGAGGGAATTCAAAACAAGTTAAAAGAGAAAGAGGGGGAAGTCTGTACTCTAACAAAGCAGTTGAATACTTTGAAGGATCTTTTTGCCAAGCGAGTTTATTTAATGTAAGCCTATGTATAAAGTCTTTAATTGACTTGGAAGTTAAATTGTTTTATCGTCCTTGATAGTATGAGAAAGTTCTTAGTTTTAATTATATATTATCTATGATTCATTTTTTTAAAAATGTGTTTTAAGTATATCTTAATAATTTATAAACGGAGTTTTGTATAATTTTGAAGTATGTTAGCTCATAGCAAATACAGAAGGATCCAATTTTTTGCATATTGGTCTTGTTGTGAGTAAGCAACAGTTTAATAAATTGAATACGCCAAACAATGAATGGTGTATTTTCATGATTCTGTCTCACAGAGCTGATAAAGAGAAACTTACTTTACAGAAGAAACTAAAAACAACTGGTATTACTGTTGACCAAGTTATGGGAGTGCGAGCTTTGGAGTCAGATGAAGAAAGAAGTGATTGAAGAATTTGTCTTTCTTTTGATATCTATTTATAGTTACTATCTGATCCCAGTAGTGGCTCCTTCACTTCCTGATTTTTCTTGATCTAAACATAGGTTGAAAACAAAACTAAATGCTTTGCAATTTTCACAAGGATCAAAATTCTTTAGTTTACAATCCTAATGATTTTAGAGGTTTACTTGTTCTTTTTCTCTAATAATGTGAGTCTATATGGGTTGAAGTATTTGGAGAAGACTTAATAGAAGAGCTTGAACTTATCTTCTCTCTCAGTTCAAGTGTAAATTTTTAAACTTTAAGAATCAGATCTAGATGTTAAAGGGAAGGAGGACATTTCCAGAAAGAGAACCCCTAGCAGAGACGTAGAGGCAAAGGTGAATCTTTCATGTGTGGGTAAGAGTGAATTTAATTGCCTCAATAAAGGTAGACTCTGGCATAATTAGGTTGAATAGGTGTGATTGTGACAGATATGCAGGGCCTTGTAGGTCACACAGATGACCATAGACTTGAAGTGACAGATTATCTGTCACCACTAAGAGCTTGAACTTTCTGAGAAGCTTGAGAAGCACATGGATTATATGGAATTATCACATGTTTTAAAAACACTGGTGTTTAATTCATATATCTTACACAATTCCATACAAATAGATTTGATGCATGTCCTTTCAAAATGTTAATGTAAACCAAAATTTACTTGTTTACCCCTAATTCAAGAGAGTCCTGCAGTGAATCCTCTGTAGAGGGTCATTTTATAATATAAATAGTCATGTCCTATTTTTATAAGGTTTGTAAGTTTTACAAAATTTAAAATAAATAGTTAATAAATTCACTGTGTTTTCTTTCTTTCCTATATTTTAATATAGTAAAAACAGTGAAATTTGAAGTTTGACTAGTAAGGAGTCTGTGGTTCTTTAATTTCTAGGACTCACAAAGCTCTTCCTCAAGATTTTGTCATAGAAGATTTAGAATTACAAAATAAATACCTCCAAGAAAAACTCCATGCTTTAGAAAAACAGTTTTCAAAGGATGCATATTCTAGGCCTTCAGTAAGTGTATATCTTTTTTTTTTCATTTTTAAGCTCAGAAGTAAAATCAGCTTCTGCCTTTATCAGGTCAGAAACATTCGATCCCTTTCATTAATGTTAATGCAGTAAACTCAACTTTTATTTTTACCAGGTAGTAATGTATGTTGACTTCTTTAATTCTTCTTACATAACAACAGTAAATAGTAAACTTGATTGATTTGCTTTTGCATAAAACTTCATTACAAATTATTTCTGAAGCTTTTAAGTGTAGTTATCATAAGTTTTGCTGTGGTAAGAATATAAAATTAGAGTAAAAAAAAGAAAATAGAGCATTGTTTCCATTCAAACGTGACATGTTTCTAGTTTTTCTTTATAAAGAATCATTATGTAGAATTGTTTGGTATGTCTTACTTTAAAACATTGAGTGTGCATATTTTTGTCTTTTTCCTTTTATCTTTTCATATTTCTCTTCTCTGCTTCAAGCAGAATCTGTTATGTAACACAACTCCTCTTTGTACCCTTGCTACCAGTATTACAAATACAGGCATAATGTTTTTCACAAAAAGAACACTTTACATGGAAACAAACAAAACCCCGTAAGTGTGTTCAGAATTAAAATATGGGAAGGGAATAGATGCCAATGACAACTTATATCATCAGACACCTAGAAATAGTCTCCGTTGTCACAGTAAAGAGGAAAAACACAAAGCGGAAGATAGTGTAGGTCCCACTGAGTTACATAAATCTGAGGCGAGACCGAACAAAATATCAAGTCCATTTAGGTCAACAAATGGTACTGGGGCAGATTTTAACTCCAAATTTGAAAATGAACCAAATCCTGAAATTGAGAAAATAATCAAGACTTGTAAAAATAACAGGAACATAAAGACAAGGAGGAGAAAGAGCTGGGCGAGAAAGAGAAAGGGAAAGGGGACACAGCTGAAGGTGTGAGTCACAACTGCCACGGGGATCGAGAATGACCTCCTGTGCAGGATCACCGTGATTCTACAACAAGCTACACTTGCTGCTGCGGTGACTGGTGGGCTGAGCGGGAGGCACAGGCGGATTCTGAAGCTCACACGCCAGTCCAGCGAAGCAGTGTGAGTACACGGCAGTCCTTTGCTTCTTTGTTAGCAGAGTCTTCTTACAGCCAGTAGTATATATGTATGGTGCAAATGGAGATAAACTGTGCAGAATTTGTAAAAAGTATGAACTATTAAAACTTCATCTTTTATTAAGTCCTCATATTTGACTAGTTCCTACAAAACTTATGCTTATACATTTCCTTATTCATTTTAGTAGTGTTTTACCCTTGGTACTCACCTAAAAAGTACTAGATTAGATAACAATAACAAAAATAGGGCACGTTAGAGGTGTTGGTTTTGCTAGAGAAATTCCTACCTCATCTATAAAATCTCACTACAGATAAAATTTCTGTAAAAATGTGTTGTGATGCTGTGGGACATTCTAAAATAAACTGTTCATCTTTTTGCCTTGTAATGGATATTTTATTTATATTGAGAAAAAGGAGCTTGCATGGGTTGCTATCTATGCTGTGTTAGAATATGTACCTAAGTCTAATTTTCACAGTACCCTGATTTATGTGGGAAGCTTGGAGAGTAAGTAAAATCTCCAGTGATCAAGAAGACGCATAGTCAGAATTTAACTGCAGGTCTGACTTAGCAGTTCTTCATGGACATTCCATCAATACACTATTTTTGGTCAGCTTACCTTGCAGGACAGAAGAAAAGTTTTCCCCAATTCAAATAAAATAGTAGTTATGTTCTTTTTTATTTATCCTTTCTACTTACACATTCCAGTCACCTAAGTCCTAAAAACATCAACTAAAATCAAACATTTAAAAGTTAAGAGTAGATGGATGAAAGTGACTTAATTCTTATTTCATTTATTTATCCCGGTTCATAGTGTTTTCCACTTGATAATCAGTAATTGAAAATTTGAGACTTTCACCGTGTGTTATTGTTAACACCCATCCACTAAGAATTTAATTTCTACCTTTTAACAGGACTCCACTTATGTAAAAGTCTCATAAAATTCATTATTTAAGAATTTTATTCATATTACTTTCATAGGTAGTTTCATTAGAATTCATTTTCCAGAAATTTGGACCATCTCAACCAATACTTCTAGTTTTGTTTGATGAGACTAAGGAGGGTGATGATCCATATTTGCTTACATAATAATGGCACCCATATTTGTGGGAGGAGAACTGTGTTAAAAAATCATACCCTTATATGAGCTCATCACAATTACACTCTTCTGTGAGTGATATTTAATATAATTTATGTCGATCAATC